CCTGATGTTTGCTTTGTGCCTGTGAGGATCCTACCAACCAGCCAAGTGAGTTACCTCTGCCAAGATATCCATGTTTCCAGCCATCCCTCCATCTGTGTTAGGTAAATTCTTCAGTGCACTGCTTTATAGCTTTGACCACTGGGAAGGTTTCTTTCCCCTGGAACTGTCTTTCAGGGTCTCCACAAAATGAGGGGCTAATGTGTACCAGTAGTTCTTTTTTTTTTTTTTTTTGAGGTTTTATTTATTTATTTGAGAGAGAGAGAATGAGAGAGAGCACATGAGAGGGGGGAGGGTCAGAGGGAGAATCACACTCCCTGCCGAGCAGGGAGCCCGATGTGGGACTCGATCCAGGGACTCCAGGATCATGACCTGAGCCGAAGGCAGTCGTCCAACCAACTGAGCCACTCAGGCGCCCTGTACCAGTAGTTCTTTCCAGATGATACTTGATGCATCTGTGAATTTCTTCTGCTGGGCTTTATGCACTTTCCAGGGCCTGATACCTGATACCAAATGAATCATTCTATGATACAATGAATTCAGCAGCCATCAATGAACCTGATGTTACATCTAACACCAGTTACAAAATCACATGGTGAAGTGTGCAGGCTCTGTGAGGGCCCTGTGGTGTGCAAGACTCTGCTTTTCAAGAATAGTTTTCTGTCACAGAAATTGGGGCTTTGGTACAGAACTCTAGAAGTCTTTGCAACTCTAAGTCCAGACAGCATCTTTCTCTGCCTTGGATGCTTCTCACACAGACCTTCTGCACATTGTAAATTCAGCTGCAGGATGCCTCACACCCATCCTGTGCCCGCTGCAGAGCCCTCTTGCTCTAGGTGCCACTCGAAATCAGAAGCTTTACAAACTACCCAAGTGTGTTCCGTGCTGCCTTCCAACTTCAGAGGCCCACCAAGCACCGTACCTTGGTGTGGTGTGGAGTGTGCATTTTAATAACTTGCCCTTTATTTATTTGAAAGAGAATGAGAGAGAGAGAGAGAGAGCGCACATGAGAGGGGGGAAGGTCACAGTGAGAAGCAGACTCCCTGCTGAGCAGGGAGCCCGGTGCGGCGCGTCCTGGGACTCCAGGATCATGACCTGAGCCGAAGGCAGTCATTTAACCAACTGAGCCACCCAGGCGCCCCCATCTTGCCCTTTAAAGCCTTTACCTGGCTTTCCTCAGTTCATTGAACTTCTAAAAATGGCATTTATGTCAGGCCTCTTAAGTTCTTATCAACTTTACCTGACACCTTCTGGCCTGTGTCATCAGGGCATGGCAGGTACTTGCTACTTCTTACACAACAGTTGCATCTGTCCACCAGGCCAGCCTCTCTGATCAACTGCTGCCTTCTGTGGTGTTAGGCTTTTTTTTTTTTGCGGGTGTTCCTTTAACAAATTTTAGTCTATCCATTTTCATTCTTTCTTCAGAACTACACTTTAGAAATAAATTTTATTGATAAAAGTTGCAGACAATAAAATGTATCTTTTTTTTTTTTTTTTAAAGATTTTATTTATTTGACAGAGACACAGTGAGAGAGGAAACACAAGCAGGGGGAGTGGGAGAGGGAGAAACAGGCTTCCCACAGAGCAGGGAGCCCGATATGGGGCTCGATCCCAGGACCCTGGGATCATGACCTGAGCCGAAGGCAGATGCTTAACGACTGAGCCACCCAGGTGCCCCAAAAATGTATCTATTTTTTTTTTTTTAAGATTTTATTTATTTGACAGAGAGAGAGAGAACACAAGTAGGCAGAAGGAGAGTCCCTCCTCTCTGCAGGGAGCCCGATGCGGAACTCGATCCCAGGACTCTGGGATCATGACCTGAGCCGAAGGCAGCCGCTTAACCAACTGAGCCACCCAGGCGCCCAAAAATGTATCTATTTTTAACATAGAGTTGAAGTTCCATGAATTCTGATAAATGGCTACACTTACATAACTACCATTCCTACCAAGTTGTAGAGTATTTCCATCACTTAAAAATGTTCCCTTGTACCTCTTCACAGTCAAATTTCACTCTCACCACTGACCCCAACCATTGGTTTCTCTTCTAACGCTGTAGATTATTTTATCTGTTCTAGAATTTCGTATGAATGGAATCATATACCTAGTAACTCTTTGTACCTGGCTTCTTTCACTCAGTGTCATGGTTTTGGGATTTGTGCATATTATTTTTTTTTTAATTGCTGAGCATTCCGTTGTATGGATATGCCACAGTTTGTCTACCCATTCACCTGTTGATGGACATCTGGATTGTTAATTTTTGTTGTGAAAAATAAGGCTGAGATATTGCACTACACTCATCAGAATGGCCAAACATAAAAGACTTCCCCATACAAAATGTTGGCAAGGATGCAGAGGAATCAGAACTCTTAGACATTGCTGGTGAGAATACAGTTTGGCAGTTTCTTAAAAGTTTTACATATAGTTCTATGGTGACAGATGGTAGCTACACTTGTGATGACCATAACATAATGTATAGACTTGTCAGTCATTATGCTGTATACCTGAAACGTTCACATTTTGTGTCAACTATACTTCAATAAAAAATTTAAGGGTTAAAAAAAAGTTAAACATATACTGACCATAGGATTCAGTAATTCTACTCCTAAGTATATACCCATGGGAAATGAAAACATGTTCATAAAAATTTGTATACTGATACTCACAAGATCAGTTTAAGGAATGTTTGTTTTGTATCTGCTTCTAATCCCTGTTGCCGAAGCTACAGACAGGGTCAAAGAAGAGGGAAAAATTAGAGTCAAACAAAGGAGAGCCCAGAAGGGCATTCTATTTATATATTCTTGTTCTTAAAAATATATTCAGAAGATAGTTTTGTGTGGCAGAATGTGGGAACCCCTTTGAACACGTATTCTTGTTTGTCCCTATGTAATCTCTGGGCCACTGAAATAATTTGACTTTGAAATTAAAAGCAGGATGTTTTGTTCAATATATGTTAGGACCCACAACCAAACATTTTGGACAAAATAATAGCACTGCATCCGTATCACACCAAAAAACCTAAATTCCAGAAGGGATAGGAAGCAATATAAGAAACAAAGTATCATATATATGAATATTTATAATAGAGATGAGCAGTTTCAAGTGTACAACACAGAGATTCGACAACTCCATGCGTTCGAGTCTAGCTACCATCTGTCACCATACAACGCTATTAAAATACCACCGTGGGGGCGCCTGGGTGGCTCAGTCGTTAAGCATCTGCCTTCGGCTCAGGTCATGATCTCAGGGTCCTGGGATCGAGCTCCCCACTGGGCTCCCTGCTCTGTGGGAAGCCTGCTTCTCCCTCTCCCACTCCCCCTGCTTGTGTTCCCTCTCTCGCTGTGTCTCTGTCAAATAAATAAAATATTAAAAATAAATAAATAAATAAAATACCACCATGTTCCCGCCACTGTACCTGTAATTCCCACGACAGTCCTTCCGTAACTGGAAGGCCGGGTCTCCCACTCCCCTTCATCCATTTTGCCCATCCCCCCAGCCTCTCCCGCTGCGCTTTCTTTCTTCCTTTAAGTCTTTTCGCACAGCTGCGCCCTCCACCTGTTGCACTGTGCCCTGTGCCAGTGGGCCGACTCTTACCGAACCTTCACATTTGGGTGGATAGTCCCTCCTCCCGCCTCCCACCCCACTGGGGCTCTGAGCTCTTTAAGGGCAGGGCGGTGTCGGGCCTGCACCCCAAAACCTCCCCCCACGGCGCAGGGAGGAAAGGAGCTCTCCGGTCATTCTGGCAGTGCAGCCATCCCAGCCTCTCTTTCCGGAGGGCGTCAGGGCTCGGCCCAAGGGAGCCATCGCTGTCCCAGGCGCGCAAGGTTCTCGGAGTCGCAGTCCTTCGCGCGGGAATCCCGTTTCCTACGGCGGTCCAGGCCGGAGGTCTTTCACGGAAGTGTTGGGAACCGCAGTCGCTTCCGGTTAGGCTCTAGGTCTCGGGCTGTGGGCATGGTGCATTCTGGGAGCCGTAGTTGAGGCCAGTGGTATTTGTCTCGAGGTGCCATTACCTCCCCTAAGGGGCGCTCTCCTGCGCTCACCCAGAGGCCGCGGTGGGTCCTGGGAAAGGTAGTCGTCGGAGGCCGCACGGCTCCGGCGCTGTGTGTGCAGGCGCGGGGCGTTCGGGCAGTCTTATGTATGAGGGCCCCTCTCGTGCCCTCACCCGGAGGCCGCGGTGGGTCCTGGGAAGTGTAGTCGTCCGAGACCCGCCGGCGCGGGGCGCTCTAGGAATCACAGTGTGTGAAGTGAGCTCTCCTGCCTTCATCCGGAGGCCGCGGCGGGTCCTGGGAAGGGTAGTCGTCCGAGGCCCGCAGTCTCTGGCGCTGTGTGCGCAGGCGCGGGGCGCTCTGCGAGTCAGTGTGTAAGGGGCGCTCTCCTGCCTTCCTCCGGAGGCCGCGGTGGGTCCTGGGAAATGTAGTCGTCTGAGGCCCGCAGTCTCTGGCGCTGTGTGCGCAGGCGCGGGGCGCTCTCCTGCCTTCCTCCGGAGGCCGCGGTGGGTCCTGGGAAGTGTAGTCGTCTGAGGCTCGCGGCCTGGTCAGGGGTCCGGTCCCCCAGGCTCTGGCAGGCGGGGTTTGCCCGAGGCTGGCGGCGGGGTCCCCGGACGCAGAGCCGAAAGTCTGGCTTGCGTTGGGCCCGAGGTATGTAACGCGGCCCTCCCTGCCCGCGCCGGGCTCCCCTCCGGGTGGCCCGGGCCGAGGGCTCCGTCTGGAGCTCGAGACCGCCTCGGCCGCTCGGCCCGACGCGCGGAGGAAGCGCGCCGCCCGGTGACCCGGCTAAGGGGGGAAGGGGTGGCGGGGGTGCGGGTCAGGTCCAGGCTTCCCGCAGCGCACGCGTGGCTGGGGGGCGGAGGGGACCCCGTGTGGCGAAGACGGCGCGCTGCCCGCGCGCTCAGGGCCTCGTTCTCTCCGCGCCAGCTCTGCGTGTCCCTCGGCCCCGTTGTCCCCGGCCCCCGCCGTGAGCCATGCCTCAGGTAAGCTGCCCTTTCCCCTTCCTTCTGGATGCATATCCAGGCGGGGCGGCCGGAGGCTTGCTTTCTCCGGGAACCTCCCGCCGCTCGCACGGACGGGGACGCGAGAGGGTGCACGCGAGGCCGAGATGGCACGGGCGGGTTTCTAACCCGGCACGCGAGTTTGAGGGTAAGAAGGGGGAGCCAGCGATGACCGCGTGGCCTCCTTTTCCCAGTGTTAGAACTGCTTTACTCCGTTCCTCGAGCCAGCTGCCCCTTTGTTCACCGTATTCTTATTAGGGGTCTACTTTCAGCACCTGGGTCAGTGCGATTCCCGGATCAGCAGTGTCAGCATCACCGGAGAACCTCCTGGAAGTGTCTGTTCATGAGCTCCAGGCCAGACCTTCTGAACCAGAAACTCTGGATGTGCGGCTCAAGGCTGTATTTCAACAGTCACTTCCAAGCGATTCTAACCATGACCCATCCTGAGTCTCGGGGATGCAGCAGGAGCAAAACAGAGTCGCTGGCAATTATGCTTCACAGACGTGGGGGATGAGAAGGCCAACCATTCTGCTTTAGTCCGCCTGTTTTTAGTTCCACTTCTCTACTTTGTGTCATATTTTTCTCCAAATCCAGATGCTCCCCAAGTTTTGCTGGGGAGCGCAGTTTCCATCTGTGCTTCAGAGTCCACTGTTTAGGAAGTAGCTTTTTTTTTTAAATTTTATTTATTTGACAGAGAGACACAGCGAGAGAGGGAACACAAGCAGGGGGAGTGGGAGAGGGAGAAGCAGGCTTCCTGTGAGCAGGGAGCCCAATGTGGGTCCTGAGCCCAGGACTCCGGGATCATGACCTGAGCCAAAGGCAGACACTTAATGACTGAGCCACCCAGGTGCCTCAGGAAGTAGCTTTATTAGTCGATAATCTTTTAACACTTAAAACAATTTTTATTACTTATTAATTTTTTTGTGAGAGAGGGAGGGAGGAGGGGCAGAGGGAGAATCTTTTTTTTTTTTTTTTTTTAGATTTATTTGAGAGAGAGAGAGAGAGAGATGGGTCGGGGGAGACTCAGAGGGAGAGAGAATCCTGAAGCAGAGTCCCCACTGAGCGCAGAATCCAGGGCTCCATCCCAGGACTTCAAGATCATGACCTGAGCTGAAATCAAGAGTCAGCTGCTCAAACGGCTGAGCCACCCAGGCGCCCCTAAAACAGTTTTTTTTTATAACTGCCATACATCTGGGGCTCTTACTAGTTTGGTACCTTTTAAAATTTCTGTTCATGCTTAACGGTTATGTGGATTATTTAAGTCGGGCAAAACCAGGGTGCAAGCCAGGGGCTTATTGTTACTGAGGGGAAAAGCTTTCATTTCCATCCTGGGAGGTGTTACATTTCTTCCTTGGGTAGTCCTTAACACTTGATTGCTCATTCTCCTTGTTATGTGACATTGCTTAAAGTACCCCTCAGTTTCATAGCTGTTTCTTCTGGAATGGGGACAACTGTGATGCACTTGAGTGCATGCCCCTTTTCAAGGATGTTGCTGCTGTCTGCTATAGCCAGTTGTTACTGATGTAGTTTTTTAATGTAGGTGGGGTCCACAGCTGACTGCCAGACATCTTTGGTACAAAAAGGTGATTTTATTAAAGCCCGGGACAGGACCCGTGGGCAGAAAGAGCTGCTGCATCAGGGCTATGAGGGGTGACTGATTATATACATGGGAGTTGGGGGAGGTAAGGAAAAGGGAGGTTTTCAAAAGAACTTTCGCGGGGTGCCTGGGTGGCTCAGTCGGCTGGGCATCTGCCTTCGGCTTGGGTCATAGTCCCAGGGTCCTGGGTTCGAGCCCTACATCGAGCATGCTTCTCCCTCTCCTTTTGTGCTCTGCCTTGCTCTGGCTCTCTCTCTCCCCGTCAAATAAATAAATAAAATCTTTAAAAAAAAAAGTAATTGACCTCGCAGATCTTTAAAAAAAAACAAACAACTTTCGAATGCCTAAGAGGACCTACAAGATACTGGAGGCATTGCCATTGTCAAGTTAAGGTTGTTTTTTCCTCTAGCAAGGCATTACTGTTGAGACAATTGGGAGTTTCCTTCCAGAAGTTAGGTTATTGATAAGAATGCTTTTCTCCTGTAAATCACTAAGACATTTGTAAATTGAGGGAGACTCATGTCTTGTAGGACTTTAATCTCTATAAATAAACCATTTGTTTTTCCTTCCCTTAGCTTTAGAGCGTCCAGGAGTGCTTGAGGAATGTTACACGTAACCCACCTGGCGGTTGGGGGTGGGGGTTGCCGGCGTGTCAGCTTGTGCTTTGTCCTCAGCTTGCCTTCTGTTCCCTCATCAGTTACCAGGAAGAAATTTTGCCAAATCATATTAAAATAGGGCTGCCATTAAGGAAAATACACATTGCCTGTTAAATACAAAGGGATTGTCTTCACTATTCATTAAGTGTTGTAAGATTCTAAGAACTTTTACAACAAAAAGCCAGAAATCCAAGTTGTTCACATGTATAATCCTTTATCTTTCACAAAATTATAAATGATCTCAGGACAAATTGCGTTTATTTTTTCTGCTTTTCTCCAATTATACAATAAAACAAAAACAGCTAGGCTCTTACTGATTACTCAGAATTCTGAAAACTCCCATTGCTACTACTTATATACACTGCTCTCCATGGTGGGACTCATTTCACTTGTTGATCAGGGCCTTCGGGAGCATGGGTGTTGGTTCTGCAGATATCTGTATGTCGTTTCAGGGGTCAGTGACATTCAGAGATGTGGCCATTGACTTCTCCCAGGAGGAGTGGGAATGGCTCCAGCCTGCTCAGAGGGATTTGTACAGACATGTAATGTTGGAGAACTATGGCCACTTGGTCTCACTGGGTAAGCGTATTCCTTCTTTTCCTCTCAGTCAGAATTTGAACTTTGGGATGGCTTTGTGAATCTTGGTTTTCTGACAATATTCCCAAGGGAGGTATGTTAGTTTTCTTTTTGTTTTTTACTTTTTTTTTAAACAATTTTTATTTGTAAGGAATTTATACACCCAACGTGGGGCTCCAACTTACAACCCGAGATGCATGCTCTACTGACTGAGCTAGCCAGGCACCCTTGTTTTTTACTTTTCAAGATGGATTATAACCTCCTAATCCTTAGACATCTCTCATATTTACATCTGGCATTTCTTTTTTTTTTTTTTTAATTTAATTTATTTATTTGACAGAGAGACAGCGAGAGAGGGAACACAAGCAGGGGGAGTGGGAGAGGGAGAAGCAGGCTTCCCGCAGAGCAGGGAGCCCGATGCGGGGTTCGATCCCAGGACCCTGGGATCATGACCTGAGCTGAAGGCAGACACTCAATGACTGAGCCACCCAGGCGCCCCTACATCTGGCATTTCTTTTAATGGCCCCTCTTCTAGGGACTTAAGGACTGATATTGAATTTATTTCATTTTCTGCAAGCAGGTCTTAACATTTCTAAGCCATATGTGGTTTCCTTATTGGAGCAAGGGAGAGAGCCCTGGCTGGAGAAAGGAGATGTGAGAAGAGATCTGTTTTCAGGTGAGTAAGTTAATAAGAACCCAACTAATTAATGAGAAAGCAATACTTTTTTATATGTTGGTTGTAAAGTTTTCCCTTAAAGATACCAGAGATATGGAATCTATGTAGTCTTGCCCATAGCTCCATAAGGAACCACTTCACATCCACTTAGCAGTCTGGCTTCAATTCTCGTCTTATCCTTTCCCCACTTCCTCACAGACAGATGTGTTCTTTCTTTCCATTGTTAGCTCTGTCTGGGCTCTGAGTTTCATTTCTTTTTGACTTCTCCTTTTCTTTCTTGAAATTGACCTGTGTTGTCTAAATTAAAAGGTATATATTTTTTCTGTAAACTATTATTCTATTTAACCATCTTGGAAAGACTAATTCATTACTTTTTGGTCAGTTGATGGGTTTATGCATTCACTCACACATTCTCTTATTATTTATTTAAAAGACTTTCTCTTAGGTGCTATAAAGAGTAGAAAGTATAAGAAAGTGTAATAACTATCAAAGAAGTTATAGCCTAGTGAGATAAAATAGATCTGGAAATAACTTTATTACATGTCCTCAAATTTGCAGTTCAGCAATAAGGAAAAAGGAATTTCCAGTTGGAGTTTTAGGCCTACATAATTTGCATAGGTAGTAGTAGTAATAGAAACAAATAGTAGTAAGAGAAACATGAAAGACAGGAAAAGGATCAGTTTTGGAGAAAAAGTGATGAATTCGTTTGAGATAAGCTCAGTGTAGGTAGAGGATGGTACTTCCAAGTGAATATTTGCAACAAGCTGTTGGAATATATGGTAGGAAAAGTTCCAGTTAGAGATGCAGATGTGGGAATTTTAATATTAAGCAAAAATTGAAGCCATGAGATTGAGATGTCACCTTAGGTTGACATAGAATTGCTGGTAAAGCTCTTTAAAAATAAATGGCCATGCCCTACCCTGGAAGATTCTGACATAGAAGATCTATGGAGCTTAAATTCTATATTTATGAAAAGTTATACAAGTTCTTTAGTTGATTCAGAAGCCTCTAATGGCAGCATATGACCTATCACTGGGATAGCTGGAGGAATGCTTGCATGGACAGAGAAGCAGCAGCTTGGAAGGACTGATGAAGGACCAGGAGCAGGGGCCATGAAAACAGCTTCAGCTGTGAGGAGTGTGGTGGTGGTGAATCCCACATGCCACAGAGACTTTCAGGAGGACACGGAAAGAACTGATGTCGGCCGAAGTCATGAGCTAGAGCAGGTGCAGGGATATTTCTTCACTTAAGTAGGAGTTGAAGAAAAGTGTCCTCTTCTAAATCTTGTAAAAATAAAACTGATAGAACTATGTACAAGGGAAGTGAGGTAAAGGACATAGAAAAATTATCTCTAATTCCACTACTTCATTCATTCATTCACTTTTTTTTTTTTTAAATATTTTATTTATTTATTTGAGAGAGAGAGAGAGAATGAGAGACAGAGAGCATGAGAGGGATGAGGGTCAGAGGGAGAAGCAGACTCCCCGCTGAGCAGGGAGCCCGACACGGGACTCGATCCCGGGACTCCAGGATCACGACCTGAGCTGAAGGCAGTCGCTTAACCAACTGAGCCACCCAGGCGCCCTCACTCACTTTCTTTTAAGTGATCTCTATGCCCATTGTGGGGCCTCGTACTCATGACACCGAGATCAAGAGTCACATGCTCTACCTGCTGAACCAGCCGGCTGTCCCTCCACAACTTTAATATAGCTCTTCTAATTTTTGTGTGTTCATTCTAGTAGGCACCCCACCCCTTATTTTAACAGGAAGTGGGATTTATTGGTGGGCACGAATAAGGAGGGGGCAGTGCTAGAGTTCTCATGAGCACAGGGCCTGCCATTTGTCCAGGGGGCCGTGGTTAGGGATGTATTTGACCCCACAGACATTGGCGGTGAACTGCTTTTCAGCCATCCTGGCTTCAAATTCTTGGGCATTAAAGTGAGTAAAGCCCCACTTCTTGGAGATGTGGATCTTCTGGCAGCCCCAGGGAACTTGGACTTGTCCCTGCATAGGGCCGCAGTCTCATGCTCCTTGTTCTGCACCTCGGTATGGATGGACATGATTTGGCCTGTGTGGGCCTGGCCACTGTGCCCTGAGGTTCTCCAAGGCCACCCACATGCCTGTTTGGAGCCAGACTGGGGATAGCAGGAGGTCAGACGTGAATGTCCGCCAGAAAGGGCTGTGTCCACGGTCCTGTAAGGCAACCCGTATAAGCAACAGGCTGCATACACTACTGAGGAGGCTGCTGTTTGCCGCCGTTGCCCATCAGACCCTCCATGGGGAGACAGCACGGTGGGCTTCATGGGCTGCAGTCCAGTACTTTTGTAGAAAGGTGAGATATCGCACAGAAATCATGCATAAAACATAAATGTGCAGCTTAACAAATTATTGAAAGGTACCGATGTAACCACCACTCAGGTCAGTAAGCAGAACACTGCCAGGTCCCTGCGAGCTCTCTGTGTGATCCCCCCTTCCCCCACCCAAAGGCAGTCTTCTCTTTACTTTAATGGGAATAACTTACCCCATTGGTTACTTGCCAAACTTTGTCAACTGTTTGTGTTTCTAATCACTGCAGTTTAGGTGTGTATGTTTGTGAACTTTATAAAGAGGGGTTCATAATTTATATATTGTGATTTGCTTCTCAAAATTACTTTTAAGATTTATGCATTTTGCATATTACTCTAGTAGTTTGTTTCATTGTACAAGTCAGTACTCCCCAATTTATCTCTTCTGAGGGCTTCTTGGGTTGTTCGCATTTCAGGGCTGTTGCAAGCAGTGTTACTATTGTCCCTGCATCCTGGTACAGACCGGCCAGATTTCCTGTGGTATATATCTAGGACTGGAGTTGCTGGGTCAGAGGACAATGTACCTCTTTCTTACTAGATAATGCCAAAATGTTTTCCAGAGTGCTTTTACTGACATTCTCACAAACGCCGTAAGTGGGTTCTCCTCGCTCCCCATACTTACTAATGCCCAGTACAGCTAGGCACCATAATATTGACCTAACAGAAGAGTGTGCACTGGGAGCTTGCTGTGGTTTAAAATTGCATTTCTCTGATTACTGATGAGATTGAGCACTTTTCTGTATGTTTATTGGACATTTAGATATTCTCATTTGTGAAGTGCCTCTTGAAGGTTTTTGCTCATTTATGTATTGGATTCTCTTTTTCTTACTGATTGGTAGATGTTATATATTTCAGATACAAATTCTTTGCTAATTATTTTCACTGCAAATATTTTCTCCCACATGCGGCATACTTTTCCCCTTAATGACCTCTTTTGATGAATGGAAATTCTTCATTTTAGTGTGGTCAGATTTACCAGTCTTTCCCTTTATAGTTGACCTGTTTAAGAAATTGTTCCCTACCGGGTGCCTGGGTGGCTCAGTTGTTAAGCATCTTCCTTCGGCTCAGGTCATGATCCCAGAGTCCTGGGATCGAGCCCCCCATCGGGCTCCCTGCTCAACGGGAAGCCTGCTTCTCCCTCTCCCTCTACTGTTCCCCCTGCTTGTGTTCCTGCTCTCGCTATCTCTCTGTCAAATAAATAAATAAAATCTTAAAAAAAAAAAAATTGTTCCCTACCATGAGGTCATAATGAAGGCATTTTCCTATATTTTCTCTTTAAAAAGCCCAGTCATTTTGCCATTCACATTTAGATCCATTGTCCACTTTTAATTGATTTTTGTGTGTTGTGTGTTATTGGTCAATTTTGATTTCTTCTTTGAGGAGATCCAGTTATCATGGTACTACATACTGACATGTCTGTCCTATCCTTGTTACAATGTCATAAGTTTGTCATAACTTAAATGTCCATATTTGTGTATATTGCTGAGTTCTCTATTCTTTATTGATTGTCTGCTTTCCTATCCTTGCATACATCTATACAGCCTTAGTTATGGACTTAATGGATAACATTTTACTGTATTTACTTCACCCCACCCCCCTTTTTTTTGCTGAATAATTTAAAAGTAAAGTACAGACATCTCAACATTTCACTGAACAGTACTTCATCATGTGTAAATTATAGGGACATTTTCTGCATGATCAAAATAGCATTTTTCATGCCAAAATAACAGTTTTGCCAGTTTTGTTTCCGTTTTCACAGTTTCTCGTATGGTATATAAGGTCAGATCTGTGCATGCACAACTCAGGGATGAGCTCAGGATTTCATACACAACTTTGTGGGAGCACTTTTCTTGAGCTCCATCTGCTACCCTTTGTGGCTCTCAGGGCCTCTCTTTCAGGTCTTCTGGGTAGAAAGGCAGACCTTTAGTTTCCCCTCTGCTCTGTATTTCCTGCAACTGTGTCTGCCTCCGTAGCCAAGCAACAAGGAGACAGAGAGGAAAAGAAGAAAATGGGTATTATTCCTGTGCTGTAGGGAACATAGATTTTTCTTTTCTTTTTTAAGATTTTATTTATTTGAGAGAGCAGGCAGGAGCTGGGGGAGGGGCAGAGGGAGGGGGAGAAGGGAGCCTGATGTGGGACTGGATCCCAGGATCCCGAGATCACAGCCCCAACCAAAGGCAGACGCTTAACCAACTGAGCCACCCAGGTGTCCCAAGATGAGCAACTTTGAAGGGGAGGAGAAGATTATATCAATTTGTGACTTACTGACTTTTGGATCTTTGTGGGATGCTTGACTAGATCAATTCATTAGGCAATTGAGTATCATACTCTGGAGCTTAACAAAGAGGTCACTGTGCTTCTCAAATTTTAGTCACTTGGAGAGGTTTTTCTTTTTTTCTTTTTTTTTTTAGATTTATTTATTTTAGAGAGTGTGTGCACATAAATGGGGAGGGGTAGAGGGAGAGGGAGAGAAATCCTCAAGCAGATTCCCCACTGAGCGCAGAGCCTGATGCAGGGCTCAGTCCCAGGACCCAGAGATCATGACTGAGCTGAAACCAAGAGCTGGCTGCTTACTGACAAGCCACCCAGGTGCCCCTAAAGATTTTTTTATAAGTAATCTCTACACCCAATGTGCAGCTCAAACTAACAATCCTG